AAGAGATGAGCTCCTAGCACTGATCGAATCGTCAATAGGAGCGTGAGAAGTTTGTTTATAGTAACAGCGGATAGTCTTACGAGCCGCGGATAAAACCCGCGTAGTTGACTCTACGTTCACACTAGCCTACGGTTTCTAAATATTACGTATCGATGGCTTCAAATAGCGTTGGCTCTGAATATTCGACGTTGAGTATCAGTTATGCAACACAGATCCATCGCCGAGCGGAATTCAATAACTCATAGGATATTCATCCTACAGAATTTCATCAATCAATCATAGATAGTTCATAGCGATTTCCAGATCTACAGAGCTCGCGGAAATCATGAAGCATAATTTGGATCACCCTATAGGAATAGTTGAAGTGGATATAAGCGTTCCTCGATCAATCTATCCTATTCATAGGCTATGGAAAGGCTTGTTTGCTTGCAACCCCACCATCCTCATTTCTTGGTTTGAGTAGGGGAAAACGGCTTTTCCAAGAGAGGTATATAAACTATAAATAGTCATATACCTAGTAACAGATGTGGGCCCACCGCCGCACTCTATTTCTTATAGACAAGTCTCTAGAATTGCATATCTCTAAGGAGCCAACAGTAAGTCGGGAAACTATCCCATATTGTTTGATTTTGCTACAGTACGTTAAGTTGCTTACTTCCTCATGTTAAATGTTAAGGGCTAGGAATAGACTGACCGATTGCATATCAACATCTATAAATTTTCCACCTTAAGTATAGGGGATTGATAATTCAACACCCCTTTGGATAACTAATGCAACACCCCCTGCCTGAATCCTTAGGCCAATTTTCTTTTCTGCCGGACATATTTCTGCCACCACCAACCATGCATGAGGTACTTGCATTTACTATGCAACCCCCTAATTAAATGAAGTCACTTTCGTACACTACCACCTACCATGCCAATTGCATGGCACTATTCCCAAATAGGAAATAGATGCTGTTTTCAAAAACTCTGCAGAAATGAAGGAATTGGCCCATGTAGCCGCCGGCCGCTATTTTACGTTGAATTCTTTAAAAAGTTGCATGAGAATAGTGAAGAAATTGAGTAATTTGTATTGTATCAGTATGGAGCCCCCTAGCGCTTCCTGAGGCGATCAGACTAGGAATCCTCGTCCTGAGATGCCTATGAAGCTATTCCCGACCCGTGAGATGTAGCTATGCTCGGCGGCGATACCTGCTGGGTCCCTCTACGGCCACAGCCACCTTCCTAAGAAGCTTGTTGAGCGTTCTGGGCTAGAGATGAAGCTATTCCCACTATGGTATCACCCTACGAGGCTTGTTGTCTTCCTCTACGTCCGCGGGCCCGTCCACGGCCCCGTCCACCTTCCTGAGAAGCTTGTTGAGCTTCCTAGGCCGTAGATAAAGCTATTCCCACCCCGTTGTCTCCCTGCGATGCCTGTTGTGTCCCTCCACGTCCTCTACCACGTCCTCGGCCGCGTCTATGGCCACGGCCACCTTCCTAAGATAGCATGAGCTCGAAGCCGGAGGGATCTCGCTGGGTTGAAGGGTCTTGGGTGCTCGCTTAGGTGCTTTCGCCGCCGCCGCCGCCGATGAAGTTCCTGGCGCCTCGGGGGCGCCCTCGCCGGCGCACTTGGAGAGGATCCTGGAGTAGGAGTAGCGGGTTAATAGGAGGTGCAAATACACTGTACAAATGCTAGTGTTGATGAAATAACTTAGGCTCGAAGCTCTTCTCCTCTTCTTCGTACTGTATAATAAGGTAAATGCATAGAAACCCTGCCGTATTCTTCGAATTGTAGGTGCATAATAGAGGGACCGGCGGCTTATCCTCTGCTTCTAGTAGGTAGCGGTTATAGACGTCCTTTGTAAGCTCGATTGCTTTCAATGAAACCCGTCTTTCTACCAATTTGAAGAGACGCAAGAGGTTAGTGGACCTTCTTACCTTCTTATTCTCGATCTTAGCGGTAACCTTATTAAATTAAAGCTTCACGGCATTCTCAAAGGTGCGAAGAACAACTAGTAGATTATTAGTTAAGACTTAAAGGTCCTGCTTAAGCAGCTAGTAAGCTCCCTCGGTCCGAGAGGTCGAAATCTTATTAAGATGAAGGTATTAGGCCGTGTATTTATGAAGGAAATACTCGGGATAGTCGTCTAGCCATTTAGTCTATAGATACTCGAGTAAAGGCATAAAAATCGGCTCTTTATAGACCTCTTTAAACTGCCTCTATCTCTCCTATCTATCCTCGGGTATAATAGCGTAGACAATACGGATCCACCGCTGTAGCATTTTCTTCTATGCTTCACTAACTATTTCTCGAAGCTCTCGGTCTACCTTCGTCCGTGAGGAAGCTAAGGAAGCATTTGCTAATGCTTTAGTCTCTTGCCGAGCTTTTGCGAGCTGCTTAGCGAGTAGCGGACGCGCTTTCTTTAAGATATTTATGTTAATATGCTATAGATAGATTATATGCTTTGTGGAAGGAAAGACCACCTTAATGGCATTCATTAGCGCTTGCTCTTTATTAGTGAGGATCGTCCGGGGTAGCTCGAGGCCAAGAGCTTCGTATACCTTAGCTAGACAATTCAAAATAACTTTATAGCTATTATCCTTCTCGTCTCTTACGAAGGCGAAGCCGACGTAAAAGGTTAAGCCCGTAGCAGTGAAGCCGACGATATCGAGTATTAGAAGGCTATACCGGTTAGTCTTATATATATAGTCTATTAAAATAACCTATAAATTCGTCTTTAGTAAGGCAATGCTCGTTTTATGAATACAAAAGAGGGCTGTAACATGATTCTTATCGTTAACCTTATACTTAAAGATCTATTCGCTATCCTTTAGAAGCTCGATTAAGAGCGCTTAAAGGGGTGTACGGCTAGCGAGGAATTCAATATAAAGCTTCTTCCGATAGTTATAGATATCCCGGGCATTGATATAAGACTCTATATTGTCCTTTCGAATACTAGTGAGGATCTAACGCGTTAGAAGACCCTACTCGAGCTGCTTTTAGATAGTCTCTTCGATTGTAGAAAGCTCTAGACTTCGCTAAATTAGGTGGGTTGATAGAGGAGATAGCGCATAGTTATATATCGTATTTCCCACCGTAATACACCACTTGCCCGTCTCGAGATTTAGCCGAAGAGCTATAGCGAAAGGACAGTTATTTAAAAGCGTGGTAGTCTAACGCTTACGCTCTAGAGCACCCTTAGGGCGAGCGCGAGCGCTTGCTAGACGACCGCGATCACAGCAAATATATATAACCTTCCTAACTCCTCTCTTCGTCTTTTTAGAGCGTAATAAGGTGACTGCGTAGCTATTTAGGGCGCTAAAAGCATTGATTACGGCTATTCCTTGCTCCGGTGTATCGTAATACTGATCAAGAGGGGGTAGCGGGAAGGTATAGAGGCTTGGCATCGTCGGTAGGGACTCGGGAATAGCGTTATAGAGGCTTGGCGGCGCGCCATAAGGGCTTGGCAGCGTCGGCGGGGACTCGGGAATAGCTTTAGGCTCAGAATCGGACGGCGAATTAGGCTGCGAGGAAGCTATCGTAAAGGAGAGTGAAATACAAGAGAAATAGGTGAAAAACGCGAGCGAAATAGGAGGTTCGAAGGTGTAAACAACAATTATTTTGAATTCCTTATTAGGTACTACAGTGGAACAGGAGTGACTTATTTTTACTAGCAATTTACATAATAATTGGAGGTACCTAAGGTGTGATATACATACAGGGTAGTGGTAGCAATAAATAAAAGTTCGAGGAGAAAAGCGGTGAGGAAAGCGGTCAGTAGATGCCTGAGGATTCAGGCAGGGGGTGTTGCATTATCCAAAGGGGTGTTGAATTATCAATCCCCTAGAACTATTAGTATAGCTAATACTAGTTATCGGACTCGACGGAGTAGGGCTCGCTCGAGGTATCTAGTATACTACAATCGCGTTACCTATGTCTATCTATAGACACCTAGAATTAATCAAATTTAATATCTTAGAAACGGGAGACTACGACATCGTATTAGGTATTCTATAGCTACGAAAGCATAACCTAAGCATTAATTAGTAAACAGAAAGGATCACGTTTAACCGATATATATATAAACGAGAATACGAAGAGTTTGAAACTCGACGGAAGGGACTAAGTAGATAGGTAGCCGGTATCTAGAGCGCTTAGTAAGTTAAGACAAAGAAGGGCCTATAGCGACCTTAAGGTATAGTCGATAGGCGAACTAAGACGGTTACCCTAGATACTACGGAACAATCTCCGGATATAACTAATAACGAGTTATTATAGTATATAATTGTTAAGTATAAAACGCTAAACGTAACTAGCGAGGAACTACGATTACTAGAGGAGTATCGTGAGTTTAAGGATATATTTATAGCACCCGCTAAAGGAGTGTTACTAGAATATAAACCTTTCGACCACGAAATTAATATAATAGAAGGAACTAAACCTAAATTCTAACCTATTTACTAGCTATCGGAGAAAGAGTTATAGACACTTAAGGAGTATATCGCGGAAAACCTAAAGAAAGGTTATATCTAAGAGTTAAAGTTATCGGTAGGATATCTAATTATCTTTATACCGAAGAAGGATAGGAAGCTCCGGTTATATATAGATTATCGATAACTAAATTCGATCACTATCAAAGACCGACACCTATTACCCTTAATCTAGGAACTATAAGATCGATTAAGAACCGCTAAGTGGTTCACTAAGTATAACATACTAAACGTATACAATCGACTTAGGATTAAAGTAGGCTATAAATAGAAGACGGTATTTAGAACTAAGTTCTCGACAACAACTTGGGCTTACCAAATGTCCGCCATTTTCGGCCTCGAGTGACGCCTTTTTCGGCCGCCATCTGGTAACACGTGACAGCGCCGTCCCGACACGCCCACGTGCAGCTACCACCACGCACCATTTAGACCCACTCGCACGAGACCCCCCGCCCCACCTACAGTCGTTCAGTTCTTGTACCTCAGCGGAGGCTAGTGTTGGCTCGGCGTCCGCAAAGGCGCCAAAAATGGCCTCACTGTCTCAGCACCTAGTCAAGATGGTATCTGCCCGCCATGGCCCCTTTCTCTTCCGCATATTTTCCTTATTCCCCCAGCTTTCCCTCTCCCTCCACCAAGACTACTTCTCTGCCCGTCGCCTGTTCTCTTCTCTTCTACGTGCTTCCTTGGTCTGTCAATTCTGCTCGCTCAGCTGTGGGTGCACAGTCCCAAAAAAAACAGCCACCGACCGTCTACTCGTGACATACCACTTCATTATTTCGCGGTCTTGTAGTCTCATTTCTCAGCCTCCGCACCCTCGCCGTCCCTTCAATCCCGCCGAGTTCGACGATGAAGCGTTCTCGACGCTAGCGGACTAAAAAGCCGGAAAGCGACTCTGGCGAGGATGACATTATTGCGGCTATTTCTAGCGATTTAGAGCGGGGCGATGCTATATATGAGACGGATCTAACGGAGCTAGAAGACGTTTCCAGCCCACGAAAACGTCTCCGATCCGACGACAACCTCGCCTTGGAGCCGGAGGTCTCTTTTGACGCTAGAGAGCTCTATGTGGACCCACTAGATGAGGGTGGGGTTGATCTCTCTGAAATCCCCGAGGATTTCGACAAAGCACCGGGTACTATTGAACGACGAGAGCGGATTGAGAGTCGGTGGAAAAGGTGAGTGACCCACTAAGACATCGCTGCTGGAGGCATTGATAGGGGGATTCCTAACATAGGTATAGGTACTGTCTTAGCCAAGTGCGAAATAGGCCTAATAAGCCAAAATGGCGCGAGGCCGAGGAGGCGCTGCGCTAGGCGTCGAACAATAATATGTATCGTTTCCTACGCTGGTGTCTCTAGCTCGAGCGAGGCGAGGACGGTCGACATATAAAGGGTATTAATAAAGCTAGCATATTTGAGACCGACTAGAAAAACCTTCGCTGTTACTATCAAAAGTTGACCAAGATTGTGATCAAAGATAAAGATGGCTTAGAGATACGAAGGGTTATTATACCTCTAAATTCATCCCAATCTAGCTTGATATCCTTGACTTACCATTGATTATAGGGTATAAAGTACTTGGTCTAGGAGTTTGGCTTAGACACGCAGCCTAGAAAGAAGACGCCGGTTTATATCGAGGATATAGGCCCGTTTAATAAAACGATCTTATCGACATAGGAGAAAAAGTTCTATCTAGGATTTCAACGTATCTAAGTGTGCCTGTTTAACTCTCTCGGTATCTTTACGCTGCACCGGAAAAGCGCTCTGTTAAGTCTGTAGTTTAAGGATCTGTAGATCTCCCTATAGAAGGATCCCCGTGGAGGCCTACCCGTCCCTATGATCGAACTTACCCCTGAAGGGACTAAAAAGTTTCTCGGTCTTACCAAATTGTACGGTAAGCGCAATTTCTGCCTCTCCCTCTTAATTCCCTATTCACCTCCGGATGTATAATATCTCTTAAGATCCTTCTTGTTATCTCCGGAATAGCTGACTAGGGTGATATAGCTAACCTATTAACAGAACTACTTTTGCACTTCCCGAGATCGTTTACGGGCCGTCTTTAGTGATCTGCCCGCACACGTTGCTTTTTGGTATCCTATTTCACGCGCGGGCGTTCCGGAATCAGGGGCTGACTTCGAAGGCTTAGCTGCGGAAACTTTTTATTAGCAAAGGCTGTAAGCAGCTCCTAGTCCCTTTAGATCCGAAAAAGTCTGAATGGTATATATTTTGCAAAACGGAGTTAGTTAAGGGCGTTCTAACCATTCAACGGACTATATAGATGCCTAAGTCTACGATGTCCACCTTGCTAGTCATATTTAGCGAGATTCGCGGGTGGAAAGGGGTATTTCACGCCTATTAGTTCCGGTATAGAAGTGGTAAAGTTATTAACGAAAGTGGTGAGTTCTTTGAATACTATGAATTTGATTTGCCCTATCAAGTTGGTAGCTGATATAGTCCGTAGGGTAGGTGAGCAAGGAGCAATATATGTTGATCATAAAGCATACTAGCCCCCGCACCTTTCTTAACCACTATTATCCCTTGCAACTCGACACCGACATAATCCGAGTTATCTGTGGCCTTAACCCGGATATAGAACTAATGCGAGCCGTTACCTAGCAAAGCCGTTAGCGAGACACGCGACGCCCACGCTACTTGACTCCTTAACAAAGGGCGTAAGTTAAAGATCATCCCGAGTTAGAAGAGGCCCGGCGCAATTTAGGCAAGATACGTGTACAATACGAAGAGACTTAGCAACCCGGCCTGCTTCTCCGACTCTAGCAACGGGAGAAGGAGGTAAGAAATACGCGGAAAAGGCTACACCGGAGCTTACGGCATTAGATCAGAGAGAAATTTGATGAAGAGCAAGCCTTTTTGGATATCGAGGCATAGCTGTCGGGCGCTGCGGTTAAGGAAGAGAATAAAGACAACCCCTCCTTAGAGGACACTATGCACCCCCTTTAGTTGCATCTCGTGCAGAGCCTTCTTTCCTACCCTGTTTCTAACTCGTTAGAGGATGAGTGGCATCGGCGCGATACGGGTGCTGCAGCGGTTGTCTAGTATTGTGACGTCCTTAAAGGAGGCCTATTGAGGGGCCGGCCTAAATAGAAAGCTCCTAAATCTGCTTCGCCGACTAGACCGATAGCCTAGCCGAAGGATTTATAGTAGACCCGAAGTGATATCGACTTATGCAAGGTACCTGCCCCTGTATGTGGCAAGCCGTTACGTGCCACTAGGGAGTACCTTGAAACTGCTAAGCAGCCAGAGGCATGCTTTCAATGCTTCGTAAGTGAAGGGCTTCCGGACAAGGTTCGCTTTCAGATCTTTCATGATCCCGGGTGTGTTACGCGCCACTTTGATGCTATTTATCTTAAAGAAGAACCACTCAAATGTAACTGGTGTGAAGTAGGCTTGGTACATCGAATGGCGTTCTAGCGCTATGCTTCTAATGTGCATCGCGTGCGGAGTCGCTAGCGATGCCCGAATCCGATGTAGGGACTTTAAAAACAAGAATAGGAACGCAATGTATTAACAAAGCCATTGGCTCGGTATCCGTTTACTTCTAATTTGGCATGGAATCGCTTACGAACCATTTTATCAGATGACTTTCCTTTATAGGACGTTTCGAGATATCTAAAAAGACTATACCATTATGTAGACTAACGTGTTTCAAAATAGAGTTTGGGAGAGAGCAAAAGAGAACGAAGTGGTGAAACTGATTTCGAGCGCGTCTGTAAATACAGGGTAAATGAAATTCATCATCCATCCTACTGAATCTAGATAACGAGTGTTCACTATAACATTAAAGAATCGATAAGCATCCATTTCGATGTCTTTTCCAATCGTTTCAGGGCGTACCGCGTGCGAAAGCACCCGTCACCAGTTGGATTTAAAGGATCTTAGTTTCGAGGGCTTGATCCATAATTATGCTGTTCGCAGAGAGGGAGTGTGTAATTCATTTACCCTGACCCCTCGTCGAGATTGGATCCCAGGTTACGTGATGTATATAGGTCTGTAGGAGTGGGTGCCTGTTAGGCTGCCACTCCGCTAGGCAGAAGAGAGATGAGTTGCTGCGACTATAAGTAGCTGGATTTTTTCTCATAGACTAAATATGATCATCACACTTATACTTTAATCCAAGGTTCCAACTTCGACGAGGGGTCAGGGTAAATGAATTACACACACACATATATACTGTATCGCAGAGGACAATCCACCACAGAAATTCGCAACTTTATGGTATAGGTGGCTCGCTAGGCCATTAGACAGAAGGCGCTTCCGCGCTAGACAAAGTAGCCCAATAAATGGTCCGGGTCTGTGTGCGTGGCGTTCGAACTGCTCGGAGTCTCTCGAGGCATCGCGGATGTAACCATTTCAGCAGGAAACGTGTTGAACTCCGTGGTCAATGAAGTTTGATGACCATGTATCATCAATAGGATACCGGCACCGAGCGGCTGTCTAGGATCATCGCCGGAATAATGTCTATGTCCATCATGGTTGGGGTCTAATCCTGAAATAGGGGCAGCATGGACACGAGATCGTAGCTCGTGATCTTGATAGATTGCCTTAGGAAGGTGAGTCTGGGTCACCTAGATCAGGGTGTTCGCATCTATTTTCAATCAGTGTCAGAAGTTTTGCCAATCGCAGATGACCTACGAATCTCTCCGTCCAGAAATTGCTCTTCCACCTGCCGTACGAAATAAATCTCATCTAGGATTTCTAGTCGGTTTGCCGGCGCGACCTGGCGGCGTACATCTTGACTAGCGCTCCGAAGTTTGTCCACTATTATGCCGTGAGTATCTTTGAGCTCACATAGTATATGGACTAGCAGGCGAAGTCGGTCTTGATTACGTTCAATTAGCATCAGTATTTCAATAACCGAATTCCATTTGCTTACCAGGCTTGAGGAGATGATCCGGTTCTCTGTGTAGAGCACCGACAGGCCACCATCCGGGCTTAGTGAGTTCGGGGTCGAGGGGTTGCGATACGCCAGAGATGACTCTACGCCCATTATAAGGATAGAGTACCTGCTTTCGTGGCTCGACGAGCTTAACATGTGACTTAGCGATGGCTCGGCAATTTAATTGTTAGAAACCTTCAAATGCCTTTTCATAGTATCGTCGCAGCGAGTCCCTGTTGCCGACTCGGAGATTTGTCCTTTGCAGCCGAGAATTTGGAGTGTATGACGTGGGTTTGAGTTGAGATAGAACCATGCTAGTTTGCTTTAAGTCGCACCACTTTATTTGACCGCGGGGATATTGCCACTCGCAAGGTATTAAGTCAGTTGACAAAGTCTGGTGGGTCTGCATCCATCCAGCATCTGGTTGCGTGGCCAATGGGGGAGCGGAAGCCTGATGTTGGTCTATAAACGACGAGAATTATTAGCTCGAATTCAAGTTGATCGCGTCGGGGTGATTACCTACGGGGATTGAACGGCATGTTTGCTTGTAAAACATGGAAAACTTGACTCTCTGCAGTTGAGGATGTACCTGAATTATCCTTAGACTATAAAATAAAGCTAGAGGGGTTATAGACAATGAGGCGTAGTATTGAAGGGCTCTAAAGTGTTGACCTCTCAGGTACAATAGCCAAAATGGTCGAAAGAATCATAACCTTTCACTGTGCTATCTGGCGACAGATCCGTGAATGAAGACCCGGTTAGAAAGGCTTCCGGGTACTGAAGGTAGTAAGGAGTGCCGTAAACTGGCTGACTAGCACTTGGAGTAGGTGGAGAATCATGAGCAAGGCGGGTAGGTCTTGCATTAACCGGGTAGGTCTCAAAGAAGTCACATTTCCTCTTTAGAACACGTGTGGAGACACACAGAGAGTCAAAATTTGATTGATGCTCAATTATTTGTTGTTCGGGCTTGATATCTGCGATTTGACTTGGGCGGGCATTATGGCTCAACGATGAATCTGTGGAGAACTCTCCATCGGGGGCATCCACAGTAGAGACGTATCTCGGGCAGCCTATAAAAGGCTCGGGTTCTCGAACGGTGGCTGGGTTAATTGGGCTGATGTCTCCGCTGCCGTCTGTAGTGCTAGCATCTGTTCCCGCTGATTTCGGAAGATTTGCACTAGAGTTCCAAGCTATGGTTTGTTCATCTATGGGAAAGGGATATAAGCCTCGTAACGACCAAGCCTTCTGTCGGAACGCCTACCGTTTGTTCGCATTAAGATCTGCTCTTCTTGTTGCCTGACTTGGTACAGCTCATCCAGGATCTGTAATCGCTCGGGTGGAAAAATCTGAGAGCGGATTGGCTGATCAGCTTCTTGAAGTTTTGCGACTGAAATCCCGTGGCTGATGCGCAGCTCGCGAAGAATGTGAACCAGAAGTCGAATGCGTTCTATTTGTGGTCAGGAACATGCTGTACATTTGTAAAACAATAGGACTCCTACCAACTTTGGGGAGGTGATCTGGCTCCCGATAGCTTACTCCAGAAGGCCACCACGGTGGTTTAGTCACCTGGGGATCAAACTGCCTTGTAGCCCCTGAAACAATCTTTCGTCCATTGTATGGATAGTTCACCTGCTTGCGAGGCTCCACAAGCTTGATATAGGCTTTCGCAAGGATTCGGCAATTTCTCTGTTGTAGACTCTCGAAGGCCTCTGTATAATACAAGGTCAAGTGATCTCGGTTGTTGACGGATATCATGGCTCTCTTGTCGTTATTCATATTAGAACTATTGTTGCAATCATCCTTCAAGTTAAGTGAGAGAAGTTCAGTAGGCAAGCGGAATTTAGACTGGTTGTAGAATGGCCACACTGTACGCTGAAAGGGAGCTTCTGCCGCGACCGGATTTCGCATGTGGCCCTTAATTTGGCCCTTAATCCCAAGATTCGTCCCAGTGTAGGGTACCTGAGCCACCTGCAATGAGTGAAAAGTGTTGGCAATCATTGTCATCGCTCGCTTGGGCGACACTAACATGCCGTGTTTCACTAACATTGGTCATCAATTCAACGCAGTTCTGGGGTCAACGTAATATTCACCTTGATATTTAGAAATGCAGTCCTCGCTTGACATACTCACGACTCTCAGAAATTCATCAATCAACCTAGCGGATTGTACCGCCGGCCAATTATTTGCGATTGACTGTGAGACTTGTAGACGAACTGTGCCATCTGCGTCGATATATATGAGCACAAAGTAGGTGTAAGTCAATTTGTCCAGACGTGTGTCGGCTGGAATTGTTGCCTGCGCCTGATTGCGGTCAGTTCATTTAGACTCAGCTGTCAACTAAGTAAATAATATACCATGAAGCACGGGTCTATAGATTTATCGTTAACATCAAAGACTGGTTGGATAGCTGTCTCGGTCAGATGCTTAGCCCGGGTGGAAGTTAACCATGAAACTCACAGTCAGAGTCCATCCTTATTGAACAACTGCGAGAGAGGTAAGTCTTTTCTACTGCTAGGGATCCCCCTAAATATTTATACCTTGAATGACAGTCACCAGTTCTTGCCAGGCGTGGCAAGCTAACCGGCACTGCAAAATCCGTCAAACGTGTGGACAGTGCGGCAAACTTTAATTCTTTAATAGATTACAATACCTTGGTTGTTTTGGAGCTATCTACAAAGCACTGGCTACTCTAGACCACTCCACGTATGCATAGGGCCCGAAATGGTTGTCTATATTATTGCCTCTTTCACGCCTGTCACCAGAAGATTGCTTTCATAGGAGTATGTGTTGTCGTACGAAAAATTACCACAGTGCCGGATGTAACAAACCCAGAATGCGGATCAGCCGCAAGGCGTTCGTAGGCGTTCGTAGCAGACCAAACCTCCTAGCGTCAACCCACAGAGTGGATGAACGCTACACGTATGCTGTGCTTGACACTGCTAGGATGATGAAATCAGTGTGATCATTACTAGAAAAATTCTGATGAGTCCGGGACCTTCCCATAGAATAGATCTATCTCGAGCTGTCCCTAACGGACTGCTACGACTCTTCTTGTCTCTGGTCTAGGAATACATTATATCACGAGGGGTTCTTGAGAGAATTTTCAGGACAGCCACAAGATAAAGTTTGGGACCTCTCTATGTCTCCAAGTTTCCGCGGTTGGGATATTTCCGGGGTTATGTCAAGGTCGCATCTCTCATTAGCCGGGAAAACTTCCCAACTGTCGATCAGTGCCGATCAGTATCGATCAGGGTCAATCACCCCTGTATGTGCATACATGAAAATAAATTTCAGGATTTGGCGAGAATTGCGCCAAAAAATAGGGTTCCATGGAATTGTTTACGGCTGATGGTAGTGATCCTTACGTCCTGATTGACACTGACATTAAACGGCTCCAATGGTCCGTGTGTCTCTGGATTGACGAGGTAAGGCCTTGATTTCCGCCAAGGACCTCCTGCTAAGACTTCCTTATTAGGTTTAGCACAGTGCTATGGGCCAGCTAGTCCCATAGAAAGTATGAAGGCCAACAAGGTTGATCGGGCTGTCGACCATGTGCAACTAGCGATTTGGAATAGATGGTACGTAGTGTCTAAGGAGGCTCGCTCAAGTGACTGTTTCCTCGTGACTCCTACGGATAGAGATGGGGAATATGTTCTCTTATTTCGTGGAAGCGATTGCGCTTGTGCACATACTCTCCCTCTATCTCGCTGGGGGGATAAAATCTTCATTTGGTTGAGAAATTTGGCTTATCATTGAAGGATTCCTGGTCGGCAGAAAATGTCAACCACGCAGATGGCGCGTATGGCTTATCGTATATGTATGTACGCGGGCAACAGGAAGGCGCCTTAAATTGAGCAACCAATCCGGAGCTGCTTCTGAATTAGGTAATTTCAACGCACAAGCCTTTGCGCACAAGGCAAAAAGGTACAGTTCCAAGGATGAACCGACCAGCTACAGGGGCTCCACATAAATGCGGGCGCTCGGAGCGCGCAGGGTGACGGCCCGCGCGCACGGCTCACGCACGCCAGCAATCGGTTTTGGACCACTCGATCAAAAGTTCGCGCGATTGGCAATGGGACCTGCCATGTTAGGACACGAGGGCATGTGATGCGGCACACTGATAGTGATGGCGAGTTACGGCGATAACCCTAGGTCAGAACGGTCCTGCTTTGAAGCAAAAGTACACACTGCCCTGAATCTTGCAGCTGAACTAGCAACGTATACAAAGCAATGTGATAGGGGCCGTCCTCACGTTGCCATCAACGAAATGGCCGACCACCCAGCGAACTCTGGTACTTGTTCAGAAAGTATATGGGGTGATGGCGCTATTGAAATGTTCAATGGCACGCTAGACAAACATGCATGCGTGTAAAACTTTCGCATAAAATGGAACATTTGGTTTCAATTTGCAACATAAGCTTAAGCTCATTGGTTTTAAGCTCCATTCTCCAGACTGTACAGCTCCACTAGAGCCAGCTGGGCTTTTCTTTCTTGTTCGGCCAGTAAATAGACTGAACACCGTAAATTTTCGGCCACTTGGTGAGCGGGCCAAGAGTCGCAAGAAGGATTGAACGTAGCTTCTTGATAAAACTGACACAAGTCATCAGAAGCCTGAGATACCGAGTCTTGCAACTGTTTGAGATAGTAATAACAAGCGCGGTAATATGCATTCTCCCCCTGCTGCCGACCAATCTCGCGGACTATTTCTGCAATTTCCTCCATTGCGTCACAGCAGAGACGATTATAAAATACGGCGAAAATATAACATTAAAGCTCTAGTGCGTTCACTACATATATAAATATATATCCGCTTCTTACAATTTCAACAAAAACGAGGTGGGTGTTGTGTTGAGTGCGACTCGCATATCCTCCTGGTAATTGCGGCTTTACAGGAAATATGTCTATTCCCTAGGCTTAACCTTTTCCGGCCCTCTGAAATACCCTAGGGGCAGAGATATTATAGTCCTGGTTCAGTTCCCTATATGCTGACACCATCACTTTTTTTAGTGTTGTAGTCCAAGGCAGGATTGATTGTGAATGTTAGTACTGGTACTTCCATCCCTTGTTTCTGCCTAAGATTCTGCCAACTTTATATTACAGGTAAATGTCACTTAACGTCCAAATTACGTATTATTCGTATTATATTGCCCGCAGTAATAAATATATATCTCTTCGGCATACACCCAAAATGAGACGCCGGGCATCCCACATTTAACGCCGGGCTCCCTAACTCCTGACACTATAAGTGGACGTCGTATTTCCAAGGGGGTGCGGCACATAGGAAAGAACTTAAAGGATAGCTCCTTGACCGAACGCTTCCTCGACGAGGTAAACAGTGACACATAACCAAGCGAGAATTGAACTGACAATCCAGAAATATGCTGCAGCTTTGATTCCGGTACTTACACCGCTATCATATGTGAAAAGACAACACGCAATTGTAGAACCGGTTGCTAGTGTGATGATAGCTGGTATTACTTTTCTGAGAAATGAACGGGTTCATATGAAAGTCATATCGATCAAATGAAGCTGAATGAAATGACCAGTCTAGGATGAATATATCAATCAAACTTCACATAGCCTTTGCCCTTTACAAACGTGGCATGCCACGGGACATTCCCCTTATGGCTCGCAAGCTGGGTATAAAGCTCCGCATGGGCAGCTCCATCAGGAGCGTTACCTACGGCCGTCCTGTCCTCAGTACGTTCATCGGCAAAAGAACCTACAAAGTCAAAGTCAACAATATTAGAAACAATTCAAAATCATATTTTCATGGGAAAGAAACATACCGGTAGCCCCGCGGCATATATAAGGTATCAGCTACACCAACCTAGTACGCCGACGCGGACTTACCCATACCGAGATTCAGCATCCACGGCATAGGAACCACGGTAACATTAGCATGTTACCGGTGTAGATAAACGTCTTCCGGGCGTCCTGGGGTAGACCCTCCCAGGCCTGCACGGCTTGCTGGGCCGCGACGTAGGGGCTGACGGTGTTGATGTTCAAGTCGGCTGTCACGCTCTCAGCCGGGATTGAGAGGACGGAGTCGTTGTCCGGGGGAGGTGTGAGACTCGCCGCGTTGTAGACGACGACACTAGGGGTTGCGTTGAAGGTGCTCTTGACGGCGTTGAATAGCGCGGGGACGGAGTCCGGATTAGCGAAGTCGGCCGGGAGGGAGAGGAATCCTTCGCTTGTCTTGCTGCCGGTGCCCTTCCGCGATGCGATGGCGACCTGGTAACCTTTGTTTGCGAAAGTCGCGGCAACGGAAGAACCGATCCCGGGGCTATGTTGTTAAGAACTTGAGCCCATTCGTGTAGACTTTGGGCTGCCAAAGCCGCGGCAGCAGGACTCGCAAGGCTGTGTTGCCGGTGACACTCGCATGGCCGGATGTTACTTATATATGCAGTAGTGAGCAAGGTTCACTCGCCCCTATCGACTCCACGGAGGCCATGACAAAGCCCTTCCAAGTGGATTAAGCGATAGGCGCTTAGTTTGCACTGGCTTCGTTGACTGGTTGTCCGAGATCATACACGAGAGGTAAGACCTACTATCGTCTTGATTGGACGGCTTCAACGTTGGGTCTAGGTGAACAAAGGTGGAGGGGCTGTTCAGGAACGAAACGAAGATTGAATCCTCCATCAGGTCGTGAATGTTTTTCACGGCGGGGTCAAGCGTCTCAGGTAGTGGTGGTGTCGACATATTTTTGTGTCGCAAGAGGGCATCACGTACGTTGACAGACAGGTTGACCTCACGGGCCGCCCCGGGGAGAATGTACGTCGTCAGGAGAAGCTCATAGAGCATTCTCAGATTGACGCTTGACGATGAGTTGGTTGTCACTGTAGACTCCCCTGCTGCTTCCACTAATGACTTGTAGCTTTCGCGATATCGCCTCGCTTCGAGAATAAACTCTAGGGTCTCGAGGCAATGGTTTTTGGAGAGGTATTTTACGAATTCGTTGAGCGTGTACGGTGGAGGGGTGGTGTTATTCAGCACTTCATCGAGCGTCGGCCGCCAGGCTGGCATGTAAGGCTTAGATTGAAGATCATTTGGCTTTGTCGGGTCTTTCGAAACGCCCATTGACGAATTGCTGGAGTCGGAACTGGTCATTGTGGAGGGACCTGGTAGGCATTGAAATGGGGTGGCTAGTGTGCATGCATAAGATTACTCTAGAAGGACAAGGAGCAGTCTGTCTTACAAGGCAATTGAATTCACCTTGAGATAAGAGAGGCGCAAAGTGGTGAAATTCAGTAGTGAGATGGTAGCGAATGATAAGTGTCTAGTGATGTTCTAGGTCATTTTAGGCTTAGAAGCGGTGCAATTCGACCCTGTCTAGAACCCGCACTAACGGCAAACGGGAAGCCGAGAGAAAGAGAAACGTCAGGGAAGGCTTCGGGGTGAGTGGCGTAACATTAAAAACGGTGGCAAGTTTTAGGTTGCCGGGGTGATGCAATAACCGTAATTTACGCAGACTCACTGAAGGTTCTAAGGCTCACGGAAAGATATCCTAATACGGGCCAGTTCAATTTGGGTGAGGTTCTGAGGAAATAAAGTAGAGAGATTAGAGGCAAAGCCGAATTCGGATACCACTGTAGTAGAGCAGAATTCGAATTCGAATACGGTTAACCCCCACACACTCATGCTTTCCTCCTAGCGCCCCACTCCGGACGCGCTAAACTGAATTCGGCCAGAGAAATCCCTGCTGTCTTTTCTTGTTGTACAGTGGTCAAGGACGAAGTACCAGAGGTCAAATACTTAAATTATGATTCACCACTGTATCTCTCGTAACCTAACTACCGTAATTATAGGTTCCGGTACTGGCCAAACATAGCCTAACGTGATTTTTTGCTTTACATCGGTCGTGATCATTTTTGCGAACCCCTGGGCCAGTGCCGAGCTAGACCTGACTAGGGAAGGCCAGAGGGTCTATTCCCTCAACCTGCGACCCGCCAAGGACTTTGAAATATGCCAACAGAAGAAATCGCATAATATACGGTTTCGAAGCATACCTTGAAATTTCACCTAAGAGGGTCATGGGTTCGGTCGGATATTTGACCCTTGGCGTCTTGGCGGGTCCAAATTGTGGGCCCCAGCCAGGATTTCCCCCTCCCTGGCTGTCTCTCTTTTGAATCTCCAATCCGCCTCATATCTTATTCGATAGATACGGAGTCCAACTACGCTCGACACTGGTGGCCTCTTCGCTTAAATATATTCTTCTGTTCGTGGGGAGATGCTATCGTATTGAGCATTAGCCGGCAAAAGTTGACACCGGTTCTAGCTTCTCTCGTAAATTGCAGCTAGTTTGCCTCATAAAACAAATCGATTGTTGCGCGGGCATACAGTACGGTATCACTTAAAGTTCCAATTTCCTTCTTGATGAACCTAAGAAAGTCCACCTGGGCTGTCTCTGCAACCTGACCATGTCGATTTATCATCGCACTAGCTCGTCGAATGTTTCCATAGCTCTCATGGACTTTGTAGAAGCCTATCGCTGCGGCGCATTGTTGAAGTGATTCGCTAACAGAAATTAGAGAAATGAAGTCTCTTTTTGACCTGCCATTTGGGATGTATTCATTAGATTGCCTGTTCACCTCAAAAATGGCCCTGGGTCGTGCATTCTGCCTATGGTAGGAGGTTTAGGTAGGCTTGCATGGGGGTACGTGGGCTTATAGGTAGTATTCTATAACGTCCACCTGCTGTTCGCCCTTCTCAATGAAACTGTAGAGCGCCGTTGAGCTAATCTTTCGATCTTTTCCTCGTCCATCTCCAGTAATTGGGAGAAGACAGCCATATCAAATACTTCTTTGAGCTTGGAATTGAGCTCACTTATTTCCATGATTTTCTAGGAAGTGATTAGTTGATAAGGTCGACGTCAAGTGAAGGGATGAACTTGCCTTCTGTCTGCGTACTATGGAATGCAGGAACATCGTGTTCACAGTGCACCAGTTTCTTAGGTTTCAGAAGGGCAAAAGCCTGAAGGGTCCACAAAACTGTTATGATCGATGTAAAGCTAAAATCAAGCTAGAACTCTGTATGTCTACGGAGGAATATTGTCCCCGTGCCGAGAAATCGTATTTACGGTACCTTTGGCGATCTACCGAAAATACATCAAGAATAGTCGGTCGGTTTTTCCTGACAGGATTCAGTTTAGCGCGTTAGGATTAGGCACTAGGAGAAAAAGCATGAGTATGTTGGGGGTAACTATATATATACTTTTTCTGTCACTCCAAGGCCTAACGCCACGACACCTCAAGCACTATCAACTAGTTGTAAGTGCCAACGACCACGCCAGCATGTCGGAAATGACCCAGAACACTCTGCTTTCGAAATCGAACAACCTCTATACACCACTCAAGGAAGGGTTGGAACCCTTGTTCTGGGCCTTCTCCATACCGCACCCAGTTCCGTCTAATGAATCAATTCCAAGAAGAACTCGACAGGATTCAAGTCAGATGAGTAAGGAGGTAGATACATGAGCTTTACTCCCGCTTCAGTACACATTTCCATCGATACGATAAGAATGATGGAAAGATGCGTTGTCCACAACTAGAACGCACATTGGCCCAGGCCATCTTCCACAATGCCGAAGAAGCTGATCAACGAAGTCTTCGAAGATTCCAGCCTCCGTGGAGCCCTGAAATATACGAGAGAGCACAATTCCATCATGGCAATATGCGAGCAGTATCTGGTACCGCTGGTCGCGATGAAAGTTGGCTACCTGCAATGGTCCGTCCGTAACGGAGACCAGCCTGTCTATCGGAACCCAATCCGTTTATCACATCCAGACTCATCCACGTTGACCAAGTGATATGACTGAAGATCCGATAGGTTATATACATAGAAATCTCGTAAATCCGCGTTCTGTTCCTTTGCACTGTGTCGAGCCACCTTCTTCGACTAACCCACCGAAGCAAGCGCCCTAAGGCTCGAATTTGTGACCTGGACACGGAACGTATCCCATAAAATGATTGCCATTTCGTCCATATATAGCCCGAGCTTTTCCGAGGACGCGATCACATAGTGAACTTCTATCATCGGAGATGTTATGCTTAGTCGTCGACCCACTCGAGCTGGGGTGCTTTGAAATTCCCGAACCGGCGGAGGTTGCTGCTGATGTTAGTGATAGAACGCTTACGATATTCAACAGCTTTAGCAATTTGGGAGGCAATCAGTGATTTGCTCAATATCATGTTTCGAGTTTTGAGGCAGTCTGGGCACCAAGTTGCGAAGGGAAATCTGGATGTCGATGGAGGGTACATGTATTTTCGGAGGGGAGCAGTGGGAGGCCGCTGAAGGGGGCAACCAGCGCCTCCAACTGCTCACTCTGCTCACCCCTCTGCTCAGTGAGCAGATGAAATGACTCCGAGCTAAAAGTCTGGGGGTATGCTAGGTATTAGGAAATGCACGTGACCTGTCGATCTAGCAGTTTCCTGGGAGCTTGGAGGCCCACTCAAATCTGTGGACGTCAAAAAAGGCGGTTGCTAGGCTGGAAATCATACGTTTGTTTCGCCCTAGCAACGACCTAAATGCGTTCCAGCATTGTCCATTCGCGTATTTGAAACTATAGCCTCCAAGCTTGCTTTTTATCTGGCTGGAGCTGGCTAATCTATCATGCTGCGTTTATTTAAGGGTTCTGGCTCGGGTCGGCTCGATTCCTGGAAACGAGCTGATCCACCCACACAGGGGGTTCCCCTTCTTCAGCTCAGAACCACAT